TTCCCTTGCAAAAAAACATTATAAAATGACATTTCTTGTTCTAATATAATCAAATTTCAAGAATCCCTTGCAAAAAATAAGGTAAAGTGGACATTCGCGCGCGCAAGACGAAATCCTTCCAAAAGCTTAGTGTTCGGAGCGATTTTAACATAAAAACATCAAAAAACCAATGGTTTTTCAACAAAAAAATGTCAAAATCTCATCCCGCGCGCTCTTGCGGATTCGTAGGAAACCCAACACTTTTTAAACATTTCTGTCAAACGGGCTTTTGCGAGCAACTTTTTCGAACTTCTGCGACAACGGTTGCGCACCTGCCAGGGCCATCATCCCTGTCAAATAATACCATGCGGGACACATTCGTCTCTCTGTATTATGTATTGTATGGCACAATTGCACCATGCTGGGCACATGCGCGCCCCGAATAAGTGACCAAGTTCTGTGGGTGTGTACCCCACGCCAGTGTAGTAGCCACGGTCGTCCGCACGCCACGAAGTGAAGTGTCCCAACGTCATAGGGCGGGAAGCTGGGTTTGGGTGGTCGCGAAGAGTCGTTTGGATATTTGGTAGAGCTTGTAATGCCCCCCCACGAAGTGGGGGTATTGCCTGGTGTCGTATGAAAACCCTGGCACTGGGGAGAACACCACGCGTTCGGGTAAAATGATTGTTGTTGTTGTTGTTGTTGTTGTTGTTGTTGTTGTTGTTGAACTTTCATTTTTGAAGAATAAGTATTGTTGATCCCCCTCGTCCGGTGCACATTGTTTTTTCTATTGAAGTGCCCTTTCCAGGGGCTCGCACCCTGTTTTTTATCAGGGAAAGTCTTGACGGCCAAACTGTGTCGTTGGCCCCCAGTTTACAACAGCAACAACAACGGCTCCCGCTTGATATTTCCTCACAATTTAGCCAGGACCCCCGCTCCCGCCCGAGACCTCTTCGCATTTTATTAAGGAATCGCGCTCTCGCTAGGGACTCCCTTGCAGTTTATTCAGGAATCGCTCTCCCGGCGCTGTGGAGTCGCGCTCTCGCTGGAGACTTGCTTGCAGTTTACTGAAGAACAGCGCCCTTGCGTTGGAATTTCATGTTTACTCAAGCGCCGCGCTCCCGACACCCAGGCACCCAGGAGTCGCGCTCACGCTTAGGAATCCCTCACAGAGTACCTAGGAGTCGGGATCTCGCTGCCCTTCGTAGCCCCGTTGCAGCCCTTCGTGGCCCCCTTGCTTTGTTTCGTGGCCCCGTTGCAGCTCTTCGTGGCCCCCTCGCTGCCCTTCGTGGCCCCGTTGTAGCCCTTCGTGGCCCCCTCGCTGCCCTTCGTGGCCCCGTTGCAGCCCTTCGTGGCCCCGTTGCAGCCCTTCGTGGCCCCGTTGCAGCCCTTCGTGGCCCCGTTGCAGCCCTCCGTGGCCCCGTTGCAGCCCTTCGTGGCCCCGTTGTAGCCCTTCGTGGCCCCCTCGCTGCCCGTCGCGGCCCCGTTGTAGCCCCTCATGGCCCCCTTTGCAGCCCTTCGTGGACCCATATATGCATGCCCTTCGTGGCCCCCGCTCGTTCGCGCCCGTTCCACTGCGGGCGTTTCCGCCTTGCCCCGCATGCTGGCGCCTTCGCCCATTGTCCGAGACGATCCGCCGGAACCGTTCGCCCTTCCAGCTGCCGCGGCTGCGGCACTCGGCTGACGGCTGGAGGTGGCGGGCGAGCTGGTGACCGTCGTGCAGTATTCCCAGGATCGTAAGGATTTATTTCAGCACGCTGTCTCCTGGCAGCGGCACTTCGCGCCTGCTGGCGCGGATGATCCGCGCGAGAATGACGATCTCGAGTGCCTGTTCGCTGTGCTTCGCAGTTATCAGCGGCTCTTCGGTGTGGCGCCTGTCTCGGAGCCTGGGCGGCTGCTACCCCTGAATGCCGCGGTTCTCCCAGGGCTGACTGGGCAACTTCAGGTCGACGAGAAAGCGGTCGGAGGGATCGATGATCAGGGGCATCGGCTTGGGCAACAACGTCGTGCAGCGGCGTCGCGCGGCCAGCCTGGCCTGCGTCTACGACTTGTCGAGCTCCTACCGCCGCACCTGTGGCCCGACAAAGAGGCGCTTGCGGAGCTGCTCGACTGGTGTCGAGCCATCTGCAGCGCGCCCCACCCGACGTCCTTGTCGGGCATGTCGCAACGGCAGGACGCGGCCCAGCTGGGGGCGAAGCTGCACGCCCGTGCTCGCGAGGCGCACCCTGCTGGCCCGCCTGCCCCCTTCCCCCGGGCCGACATCGAGACCGGGCCCCTCTGCGCGCCATCGGAGGTCGAGTTGATCGTGCGGGGCATCGCGGACGCGGCGGACGACTCCTTCGCAGAGGCGCGCGTTGAGACCGCGATCCGCTCAGGAGTCGACGAGGAGAGGCTGCCGCCGCACTTCGCGTCGCGCGAACGGCGGGCTGCCCTCTCGACGGGCCTCGTGGCCCTGCAGAGCAGCAGAGGCCCCGCGCCCGCCTTGCTGCTCTGGTGCGTTTGCGGGCTGTGCGTACACGTCGCCGCGGGGGGTCCTTCTGCCCCAGCAGCCTGCACCGCGCCGCCTGGCCGCGGGCTCAGCACCGTGCGGCCCCGCGCCTCTCGCGCGCCCTTCGTTCGGGATTCCCATGTTACTCCCGAGTACCGCGATCGCAGATCGCGATCGGTTGACGCGTTCGAGCTGCGGGTCGTCGAGCACGCCAGGGTGGCTCCGACCACGCTCTACCGAAGTGACGCGCTCCTGGCGCGAGCATTAGCCACCTTCGGAGTCTAGCTGCACGACGCTGATTTCCCCCATTATTTAATCGCTTCGCTCATTCCGCCGGCCCATAATGTCGCACCGTGGTCGCCTGTCCGAGTGGTCGTTTGCAGTGTGGAGCTGCGGCGTCGGGAGCTGTGTAGTGTTGGGGGCGTTTTGGGGGCCCTCTTGGGCCGTCCTGGAGGCCTCTGGGGCCGTCTTGGAGCCGTCTTGGGCCGTCTTGGGGCCCTCTTGGGGGCCTCTTGGGCGCTCTTGGGGCGATCTTCGAGGCCTCTTGAGCCGTTTAGGGGCGTCGGGGAACCGAAAAGGTTAAAACGCCCAAATCTGTCCAACACCAAAGGAAAACCACAGGTTTTTGCCTCTTGGGGCCCTCTTGGGAGTTCTCTTGGAGGCCTCTTGGGGCATCTTGGAGGCTTCTTGGGCCATCTTGGAGACGTCTTGGGCCGTCCGGAGGCCATCTTGGGCGTCGTGGAGCGATCTTCGGGCGACTCGGACCTCTCTTGGACCGTGTTGGGGGAGTTCTTGGGGCCCTCTTGGGCCGTCTTGGAGGCCTCTGGGGCCGTCTTAGAGCCGTCTTGGGCCGTCTTGGGGCCCTTTTGAGGGCCTCTTGGGCCCTCTTGGGGCGATCTTGGAGGCCTCTTGAGCCGTTTAGGGGCGTCGGGGGACCGAAAAGGTTGAAACGCCCAAATCTGTCCAAAACCTAAGAAAAAGCATTGATGTTTGCCTCTTGGGGCCCTCTTGGGAGTGCTCCTGGAGGTCTCTTGGGGCATCTTGGAGGCGCTGATTTCCCCCATTATTGCGCATGCTTTGCTGCGCGTCCAGCCAGCGCGCCCCCATTGGAAGGTGTTCCTTACCGAAGCTTGCGGCATCGCTAAGCAGCGGGAGACTGCAGAGCCCCCCAAGCTTCGTCCACCGTTGCCTCGCGCCCTTCTGCGCGCAATGGTTGGCCTCTGCCTCGTCTGGGTCTGGCCAGGCATGGCCGCCCTGCTGCTGCTCGGTGTCGCTATGTTCCTGCGCCCGGGGGAACTCACGAAAGCGAGGCGGTGCGACCTCTCCTTGGCGGCAGACCGTCTCGAGGCGACAGGCGGCACTTTTCTGGCCATCGCTGCGCCTGAGACCCGTCGCTCCTACCCCGCTCAGCATGCGAGGTGTTCGGATCGTCGGTCGGTGGACCTGTTCGAACGTGTTTTTGGACATCTCGCTCCCACCGATCCGCTCGCCCTTTTCGGGGCCAACGGCTGCCGTACTCGGTGGAACCACTTGCTTACGGCCTTGGGCGTCCCGCTCGCGAAAGCCGCCACTGGATTGAACTTGACTCCGGGCTGTCTTCGAGGGTCAGGTGCTACTGCTTTTTACATCGCTACAGAAGACGTTCTCTCGCGTCTTTGGGCGGGGCAGGCGGCGCGGGGCGTCGAGTGGTCGAGTGCTGAGCGATGCCTTCGAGCCGCTGCTGCTTCGACAGTCCTTGCGTCACTTTCCGAGGCCGCCAGAGCTCAGGTGAGGTTCTTCGCCTCTGGTAGCAGTCGCTTGCTTGCCTCCTACCTGCTCGCGGGGTCTTCAGCGTGCACGGTCTCTGCAGCGGTTCGGCCCCCCTCCTCGCCCTTCCGGCCTCGCTGGGGCTGAAGGCGCACGCGCTGCGCGGCTGCCTTCTGCGCCTGCGGGGAACAGAGTTGTTCTGTCCCCCCGAGCCTGCATGGCTGCACCGCCCGTTGGGCGGCCAGGAGAGCTCCTCCTGAGCGTGGCGCGTCTGCGCCCTCGCGCGCGGCGGCAGGTCTGCTCCGCCGCCGCGCGCGGGAACGTCGGCGCGCGCACGCGGAGACCGCTCGCCGGGGCGGAGCGAGAGAATCGTCCTCATCCCCCGCATTCTTTCCACCCCAGTCTCGTCCATTGCACATTTTTCGTTCCAGCCTCGACCTATATCCTGCCAGGACATACCGACTGTAAGGCCATGCGCAAACACACAGTTGTGTAATCTGTGTCTTCTGACCTCTTCCGCATCTTGCTGCTGAGGTCACTCGTTTTGGTTTGAGCTTCTGGAACACAGATCCTCTCCTTCCACCCCTTAGGGAAGCGTATCGTCTTACAGTCCTCCTCCTCCTCCTCCTCCTCCTCCTCATCTTCCTCCTCCTCTTCCCCCTCTTCCTCTCCATTCCCCCCTCCTCCTCCCTCTCCTCCTCCCCCTCCTCCTCCGTTCCTTCCGCCCCCCCCCCCCTTCTCTCCTCCCCATCCTCGTCCCCCGCTCCTCGGGGCAGGGGTGCCCGGCCCCAGGACCACCAGTGCCGGTCCCTGCTGCGGCGAGAGGTGGGCCAGGAGGCCCCCACCCCGCCCGGGCGGGCAGCGGGCCGATGGATCTGCGGGTGCCAACCAGCGGGGCCGAAGGGGCCAGCTGTGGGGCGGGGGGGGGCCGTCCCCTGAGACGGGGGCTGCCAAACGTGCCCCTGGCCTCAGGCGCACCCAGCTTTTCGCTCCAGTTTGAAACCCGTGGGGCCCTCTGGGCCTCGCGAGGGGTGCCCTGGAGGCCGTTTGGCCTCCGTGGAGTTCCTTGAGGCACCTTGGGCCAGGGACACGTCTAGCAACACCTGACTGAGGCCTGGGCGGTGCATTTGTTTCACACAGGGAGTGTTCGTTTCGTTTCGGGCCCCTGGACCCTCACAGATCGGCCCAGTTCGAAGGATGACGCAGGAAGATATGGAGTCTAGGGCTCCGGGCAAGATGTTTCGCGATGCCGTTTTTTTGAGCAACCTCGGATCTCAGGGTCCAGTGGCGGCTGGCCGAAGATCGAGAAGGGGGCTCATTGGCAGCTGGCCGACGGGGGGGTCCTCCACCTTTGGGGGCGGCCATCGTCCCGGAGGGGTTGGTCTTCCCCGGCCCCGCCATCACCCAGGCGGGGTTGGCGGAGCACCCCGCTTTGAGCACGGCCAGGTTGGTGGCTCGGCGGGGCAGGGGTAGCCAAGGCGGGTGCCGAACGCTGTCGGCACGGCTGGAGAGGCTGGGCGGGGTGGGTGGGCCACCCAGGGTGGCGCTCCCTGGCGGTTGGCCTGTGGAGGTCCCGCGGGAGGGGTCGTTCACACGCGGAGTGGCTAGGGGAGGGCCCGCGGGCGGGAGAGATGGAGTCAGCGGGAAGGCGGAGGGAGACGAGGAGGGGAAGGAGAGGACGGAGGAGGGAAACAGCAGGATGAGTGAACTGACGATGAGTCGGAAGAATTGACGGATGAGGGGGACGCTTCGGCATCGTCGCGACCGTCCCGAGCTGGTCTACAAGCATCGCCCACGCGAGGTCGCGGGGAACGGGCAGGACACATCCATTGGCCTTCTCCCTCGCATCTTCTGTCCCTCTCCCCGCTCCCTGTCTCCTCCCATGTATGTCTTTCGCGATCGCCGCTGTGACCAGCGGACTTCCGATCCAAGGTGCGGCGCATGAGGTGACGTCGGCCGCGCGAAGAGGGGGGCAAGGGGAGGGGGGAAGACTTCTTAGAAGGACCCCTGCTTCTCAGAAGGCGCCGGGGCAGCGCGGCTGGGGCTGGGCTCGTCGCGTTCGCCTCGGGCGCTGTCGACCACCGCCGCCGCGAGCCGCGAGCGGGATACTTCCATTAATCATAATGCAACCCCGAACCCTAATAACACAATGAATTCGTGGCCTATTTTAGGACAACCATGCCTAGGGATATCCTCAAACATATGGGCGGTTTCGTCTGACACATCATCAAACATACCCCCTAATCCCTCATGTTCATTGGCCCCCCTAACTTCGGTCCCCTCCCAAAATATTAGGGAAGCTTCCATTGCTTGGCATACGAGGCTGCCCAGTACCATACGTGTTTGTCTTAAGCAGCATGTTTGAAAGGGCCACACGTATACATATCTATACACGTAGCACCCCGCAGATGCGGATAAGAGTGAGGGGGCGGTGGTGACGTCGGCAGCTTGCGAGACTCTGGAGAAGCCCGCCGCAGGCGCCAAAGTTTCACAACTTGTACACCGATCCTGCCGCAGGCGCCGATTTTTTCGTTCAACCAATGTGGGTTAGTCGCGGGGTGGGTCGCGGGTGGGTCGCGGGGTGGGTCGCGGGTGGGTCGCGGGTGGGTCGCTGTTGGGTCGCGGGCGGGTCGCGGGTGGGTCGCGGGTGTAGAGGCCAGAAAATCCACTCCCACATTAATCACCCCGACAAGCGAAGCCGTTTAGTAAACGCACACAGGGGATGAATCGAACAGAGCAGGGTTGTTTGGTTGTTTAGTCAACGCCCAGAGCCGTTTTAGTGAAAGTCATTTGTCGGGTCCAGGTGGTTTTTCCTCCCTTGAGGGTGGGTCGCGGGGTGGTTGCGGGAGAGTCCCGGTGGGTCGCGGGGGTGGCGTATGGGTCGCGGATGGGCCGCGCAGTGGGTCTCGTGTGGGTCGCGCGGGTTTGTCGCTGGTGGTGGGTGGCGTGGGGGGCGCGGGTGGGTCGCGGGTGGGTCGCGGGTTGGGTCGCGGTGGGTCGCGGAGTGGGTCGCGGGGTGGGTCGCGGGGTGGGTCGCGGGGTGGGTCGCGGGGTGGGTCGCGGGTGTGACGACGACAAGCAACCACAACAACGACAACAACAACAACAACAATAACAACGCAACAAGCAGAATTCTCGCCACGAATAGTGGGTCGCGGGTGTGTCGCGGGGTGGTCGCGGATGGGTCGCGGGTGGGTCGCGGGGTGGGTCGCGGGTGGGTCGCGGGTAGGACGACGACAATAAACAACAACACCGCAACAAGCAGAATCCTCACCACGCATTCTCACTTTGGCGACGCACCCAGGGACATCGACAGCCTGCGAGGCTCGGAAGAAGCTCGCCGCAGGCGCAAACTTTTTCAAGCTACAAAGCGAGCCAGCCGCAGGCGCCGATTTTTGTTAAAACACTGAGGGTGGGTCACGGGTTGGGTCGCAGGTGGGTCGACGGTGGGTCGTTGGTGGGTCGCTGGCCGGCGGGTCGCGGGTGGGTCGCGGGTGGGTCGCGGGTGGGTCGCGGGTGGGTCGCGGGGTGGGTCGTTGGTGGGTCGCGGGTGGGTCGCGGGTGGGGTCGCGGGTGGGTTGCGGGTTGGGTCGCGGGTTGGGTCGCAGGTGGGACCACAACGACAACAACGACAACAACAACAACAGTCAGTTTACCCTCACGCGCGATGTTTCCACACGAAGCATGTGACCATCATGATAACCATCCCCATCAGGGGGGACTATTATTCTATAGCGGGGTCCGTTATTCCCATTCCCAGATTTGCCGCCCAATGAGTTCTTGCAAACACCTCCGATGAATTTCAACACATCCCGCCTCGAACACGCATGCCCGCGCCTTGCTGCGCCGATGCGAGACCGCCAGTGAAGCCCCAACGAATTCTCGAGCGGGAGCGCTGGATTTGTTGGGGCGGCGGCTTTCGGCGGCGAGGAGGAACGGAACACCGCCTCAAGTAAAAGGTCAGGAAGTCTCGAACGGGAGCCGTGGTTTTGTCGGGACGGAGGCTGTCGGCTGCGAGGAACAGCACCGTCCTGAGGAAAAAGGGAGGAAGCCTCGAGCGGGAGCGTTGTTCTTGCTGGGAGCGGCGCCAACTCAAAATAGAGTAGGGCGCCAGTCCAGCGCAAAGCGAGAGGAAATCTCGGGCGAGAGCGCTGGTTTTGTCGAGACGGCGGCTTTCGGCGGCGAGGAGGAGCACCTCCTTGAGTCAAAAAGGGAGGAAACCTCGAGCGGGAGCGTTGTCGTTGCTGGGGGCGGCGCCGATGAGAGAAAGAGTAGGACGCCACTCCAAGGTGAAACGGGAGGAAGTCTCGAGCGGCAGCGCTGGTTTTGTTGGGACGGCGGCTTTCGGCGGCGAGCAAGAGCACCAGCCCTGAGCAAAAAAGGAGGAAGTCTCGAGCAGGAACGTTGTTGTTGTTGTTGGGGGGGCCAGTTTTCGGCGCCCCCCCCAAACCGCTCGAGCGTGAGACTCATTTGCAATAAAAAATGTAGCCGGCGCCGAGGCGAGAGCGCCAAAACGTCTGGGGGGGTCCAACAGCAATAATTGTCTAGTAATTAACACTCAACGCAACGAGCATAATCCTCACCACGGATTCTCATTGTAGCCACGCACCCATGGACAATGAAGGACCGTTCGGCCCCCTCACTCTGACGAGCTCTCATGCGCACCTCTCCCATGGAGTAGAGCTCAGAGGCTAATTTTCTCGTTCGGGACATCTTCAACATTCCGGACACCGGACGCAGTCCTCACGCAGATCGCAACGTCACGGTCCACAGACACAGCTTTCTTCTAGCATTTTATCAGAATACCGCCAAGCACATAATTTAACGGAATTCAGTGATTCGTCCCCCGATTCTTCGAACATGGCGGTTTCGCCTCAGAAGTCCTCCACAGTTCGAGTCCCTTTCCAACACGATTCTTAGTTAGTGAAAGGCGCTCTCGCCTGGGACATCCTCCCAAACACAAGTTCGGACGCGCAACGCACTCTTTCACCCGCGCACGCACGCATCGCACGCGCCTTACACTCCGCATTCACACAAAAGCACACATCGTGCACATGCGTTTGTATGAGCCTGGGCACGCACGTGCCACTTGTAGATATACCCGAGAACGTGCTTGCATTCAAGGGCTTTTATTTGTTCTGTAGGATTGGCCTAACGGCCGGTCTGGCGTCTATGTGGCCGCCGTCGCCGCTCCGTCTCCGCTTTTTCGCCGCCCGTCGTCTGGGCTGTCAGGCCGCCTGGCGCCAGTCTGGCGGCTGTGTGGTCGCCGTCGCCGCCCCGTCTCCGCCTCGTCGCACCCCCGTCGCGTGGGTTTGACGGCTACTTTGGCGGTTATGTGGCCGCCGTCGCCGCCCAATCGCCAGCTCGTCGCCGCCTTTCGTCTAGGCCTGTCTGTCGCCCTAGCGGTTTTGTTGCCGCCGTCGCCGCCTCGTCGCCGTCCGTCGCCGCCTCGTATAGATTTTCGCTTTTTGCAACCAACCAGGATCTACCCCCTCCCGCGAGTTAACGGTACACCCTTTCGTATTGCAATTTATATATGATTCTGCCCCATCGTCCATCTTAAATATGAATTCGTAACATCCCAGGCAGGCCGGTACCGGTTCCCCTTTTCATCTTCTGCCACAGAGTTTTATGCGCGCGCACCCGTCCATCAAAAATCCAGACGCGCGCGCGTCGTCGCGCGCATGCTGACATCCTTCAACAATCGTACGTTATGTGACGGTTTCAAGAATGAGTGTCCCGACAAAGCAACAAAACACACGGTTTTGCAACATCAGTTTGAAAAATGTTGCTCACGCGGTTTTGCTGATTTTGGAGGCAATCATAAGTCTTCCCGC